TTTTTATTGAATTTTCTCCAAATGTCTGAACCCCAGAGGATATTTTTTCTGTTTTTCATTGAGCTCATGACTTTTCCTGGAGTTTTTCCAACTGAAAAACAAAGTAAAAAAATAAACAATAACTCATCAGAGGCCATTTTCATTCCAGTGCTGTACTATATACCTCCCCAAAAATAATCCACAAAATATATCACAAAACAAGTTACTTCTTACATACAGGTCAATTTGAATAAATTGATATTTAATTCATTTAAATAGTTAGATTGAAAATATATTTATATAGGGATCAATCACACTCACAGTGATATATCAAGTTTTTATTTATCTTAATTTTGATCATTGTGGCTTACATGCAGCTTCTGAACTTTGGAATATTACAAAAAAACATTTTTGTTCTGAAATGAGATCCTACTAAAACGTTTCACCCGGAACTACAGAGTATTTACACTCACTGCTTGGTCAAAACTTTTTTTGCGTAAATTACTGTAATTAATACAGCATAAAATGAAGGCAATTAATTCATCGCTCAAAGAAGTTTAGGGTTTTATTTAATATTTATTTAGCCTTTAGTTTACCAGGTAGAATGTTGGAAAACAATTTTCATTTATAAACCTGACATGACAGGAAAAGTACAAAAACACATAAAAAAAAACATTTGAACAGAAAAGCCTCAGTAATGTCTCTTCTCTTTGTAACAGTAAAGTAGTAAACATCCTGGGTGCCATCTTGGATAAATATTACTTAATCTAAAATGTCCTAGCATGTGATTGTGTGTTTTTGTTAGCTGTAAAAGAACTTAACTCTGTTTGTGTAAGAAAAATGATTTTAACTTTCTGAATAAAGGAGATTAAATGAATTAGCTTTCTAAACTATTGTGATTTATTGAGATGCTCCTCTAAATTGAGCATATTTAACCTTTATAGCCAGTATTATACCAAGTGTCTACTGTTTTACTTTTCAGACTGGGTATTATTTGACCTGTTTCTGTACAGAGGACACCATTCCACTCCTGTTGTTTGTATATTTCTGGCTTATAACCACAGACGTGCTGCGTGTGCCTGCAGATGTGAACCTTTTACTTCAGATCCTGTCTCCCTCTTGAGTTTTGAATAGTGCCCTTTTGCATTTATCTTCATAGCATCCCCCCAACTGTATGTTCCTTTTGTTTTCTGTGCCTCACTGTTGCCTGTACAAAGCTGATAAATGCCTCATGAGTTTTAGCATCTCCTGTTTCAGGGACCTGTGAATTTTTTATGCTCCTCTAGCAGTAACTTCGATAGCCGGAGGCAACATATTGTTTGTTCTCATTCTCCAGAACACACTGAAGGAAAATTTCCTTAAATTTTGTAGTAATGTCGCTTTGGATTAAAGGCTGAACTACTTAAAATTAGTTGGTCATATCTCAAGATTACTGTGACACTTTTTGTCCTGCCTGAAATATAAAAAATGGGCTGCAGACATTTAACAGCTAGGGGGTAATTGAAGCTTTTGTTTTTCCTTGCTGGATATTTGAGGGACAGAAATGTGTCATCTGTAAAATTTGAAAGCTATAGCACCGTTATTGTAACATCAGACACACCTTCTTTGTCTAGGCTGTGAAAGCTTCAGGCTAATTCCAACTGCTTGGGTTTGACTTTGAGACTTTGGAATAAATTAACTTAGCGGGAAATATTTTAGATAACGTCAAGCTCTTTACTTTTTTTTTTTTCTTGCAAATACTTTTTTGCATCCTTTTGTCCAAGATAAGGCCTTCCATGACTCTTTTATTATCTCTAAATCCCATCAAAGCAAAATAACCAGTGTTGTTTTGTTTCTTCTCGACTCTGTAGCCAGAAGCCAGTTACATTTCGCATGACTTTATTTATTCTGTTGTACTCACAACATAATTAAACACTCACCAATAATGCACATTTCTGCAAACTCTAAGATTTTATTTTGTCAACCTTATTAAGCATACAAAGTGTTGATAATAGTTGTTGGTTATTTAATCAGAAACAAGAAAAACAGAGAGAATGCATCTCGCAGCTCTGGCTGCTGGAAAAAAGTCAGTTTTAGTATTTTATAAATGTTTTTTAGTTACATGCATTGAACTGTAAATTGCTATAACAATAAATCTTCACTACAAAGACTTCAGAGGATGAAGATAAATCATGATGTAACATTAAAGCACTGCTTACATCATTGTACCTTAATCAAGTTAAGATATCTCTCCTTGCAAAAAAGGCGACATTTATCTTTATGTTTCTGCATCTTAAGATTCCTTTCTGGTTAAGAAGGTTATGAATTCTCCCTGCTATATTTGTGGTGCAGTAGGTGATTTCAAACACAGGTAAGCATGTCGACACTAACATTTCCTTGCCAGTGTACTTGTAAACTCATATGTTAGTGTTATGGGGAGTATCGAACGACAACGAAAGGCAAAAGTTTTCTGCTGCTTGTGGTGAAATCCAACACATGGGACAGAATAGTAACAACAGTGAAAAACCATTTCTCAAATTTCTTGTATTGTGTTGCTAGCCACATTGAATCCCGCGTAGAAGGACAGCAAGCAGTTGTTGCCTCATAGCATTTGTTCCATAGGAAATGAATGGAGGTGGAGCGATATCACCTCCTGTGCTAAAGGTGACCTATCTTGCTTCCTTGAACAGGTTAGGGTAGGTCTTCATGCTATTCAAAACATTTCATTACATTTTTTGCACAAAATCATTCTTAGATTATGAGATTTCAGTCTACTCAGTTCTGCCTCTTTTCAAAATGAGCCATTTTAGGCCCTCTTGTCACTTTAGGTCCAAATAAGCTGCTGCTGGTTAAGCCCCCAAAATCAATGTTTACATTTGCACATGAAAATTGTCTGCAAACAGAGCCACAGTTATGCCACTGTACATCTTTGAAAACCAAAAGTAGAGCCTCTTAAACAGTCAACAAAAACACAGAAGGTGGTTTCTGGATGATAAACAATAAAACACTTGCTTTTTTCCACAGCCACTGCAGCTCATACAGCTGTAAAACCGGCTAACCAAACTTTGCTGGAGCTCCACTTGCATTGCTAGGTAATGGGCTTGGCTACGATGGGGTTGCCAAGTAACCAGGCAGTGTCCTTCGATTGCGACTTAACAATTGGGAGGTTTCTGAAATGGCTTGTTTTCCGGATCCAAAAAAACAATAACTTATTGCCAAAAATCAACTGTGTAGAGGTTTTCTTAAGCACTTGGGCTGTTTTAGAAGCAGGAGAGACCCAAATGGAAGTATGAAAATATGCAAAAAGTGAATTTTGCAGAATATGTCCACTTTAAGCCCATTAGTTTAGTACCCTTTGTGTTTAGCTCAGCTAACTTAGCCTCCTTCCCACAGTTTCCTGCCTACTCTTCCACAGATGTGCAACTCTTCACTGATTAGACTCACCTGGTCCTCATATCACTGATGGACCAGAAGAGCCATTTTATTCTGTCTAGTCTCAGGTGTTCATTTGACATCTGAAGGAAGAGGGATGGTCGACTGAAGACATAATTTTAGACAGAGATAACTAGATTGTATTAAAAGAAGCCAACCACGTCTGAAAAACCAACATTTAACAGAGGAGGTGACCTCAGATTTTATCTACCTAACTCTGCAGACTGCAAAAAGATTCTGCAAGACATAGAGAAGCCAGGAGGATCATCTCTACTCTTCCCTCCTTCACTGATATTTTTGACATCCACTTTGCCAGCATTGCTGGTGACACCTCACACTCCTCACTACCCGTCTTCAGCCTCCTGCCTCAGGGAGAAGGTACCAGAACACACTCCAACGCTTCTGAGCGTCTTTAAACACCAGCCTGTCAGGATACTTAACTCTGTCCACTACATTCTCCCTCTGACTCCTGCCAGTGGATTTTAACCTTAATCTTGCTTCAATAGTAAACTTTACCTTGTTTCTACTTTATTAATTTAAATGTTTTGAGGGAGAAAAATAGTATTTCCATTTATCTGTATCTTCTGCATGTATGGTGAGTTCACAAAGAGGATGGTGATCAGTCCTGACTCTCCTCATTCAGTTTCACAGCAGTTCACACCATGTGACCAAAGCCACTCATGTGTATGTCGACAAATAACATGGACTCAAGTACTGGACAAAAACGGAGAGCAGAACTGGCAACTTGTGTACTTAATGACCCAAATGGTGTGACTACAGCACGAATAGGCCTTACTTCCAATCACATTGAGAACTGAAAAAGGCTTTTGGATAGAAGATGAGAGCTCTTCAAGGAATAAAAGAACTCCAGGGTCATTCTACTTAAAGCACTTAGAAACTCTAATGTACTTATAAAGAACTCTCAGCTGTGTCTCTGATAGATGTTTAGTATTTCTTACAGACATAAGAAGACGACTAGCTACTTTAGTTTCCACTTTGTGTATGAAAATGGCCTGTAAGAGTTATAATACCTACTGTCATAATGTCTGTCTGACAGGGTTTCTTATTGGACATGTTGTGAACTATTTTTATTGAAATGAGGTGTTAAGTTTTTTTCCTTGCCCTTGTTTTTTTGTGTTATTTTAAAGTTTATTTAAAAAAAAGACAACTAAATTGAGATTATTTATTTTTTGCTCGTACTAGCACCTTTAATTGTTCCTGAGTAAAATCTTACAATAACTGGATTTCATGCATAGATTTCTTTTTTTACAAGAAAAATTATTTTTATTTTTAAAAAGTTGCTTCTCTTTTTATCATAATTTCTACAAATAATAAACACATGTAAAGGAGAAAGTACAGTGTTGTGCCTGTTTGTCTCTGCATGTCAATCGGCCAAGTCTGTTGTTCATATTTTGTATATCAGCAGGAAATAGTTTGGAAACCAACAATGTTCTATAAAAAGATCAGCAAAAATTAGAACAGTCTTTTGGTTCTGAATGAGTTTGTTTATTTGTCTAATGCTTATGTGCTTGTGTCTCTGCACAGGGATCTGTCCAACAACAGACTGGTGGCCATACCTCCCAATCTATTTGTCTTACTGGAGGATTTGCTCCAACTGTGAGTTCTTAATCAAACACGACAGTAAACAGATTTTGGTTTAACTTTGGATTGCTGCAGCTGGAGTCTGTTTTCATGTCTGCGAGAATCAGATTGCACAAAACTCAATTTTAATTGGATTTAGTGTATTTTATTTCAATATAATTAAATCAGACATATAAAGTATGAAAAGTAAAGTTTTTACATTTGCACCAAGATTTTATGCATTTAGTACATAAAAATAGTTGAGCAGAAGTTAGCTTGCTAACAGCATAATAGGTTTATATCAAGCTGTCATGCAGAGACAAACAGAAAGAGGACGAGTCCAGCTTTTGCTGCTGAATTGTTTTGATAGCTTGATTGGAAGGAAAACATGTAGGAGTTAAAAAGAAACAGAAAAACATGTTATTTAGATGAAGCGCTGATGTCTGATATGTAATCTCTGCAGGATTTATCTGTAGTGTGAGATCAAGGATCAGTAGCATCTATATTTAATATTTTGTGTGCTTTTTTTTAATCTTGTAGAAACATATCTTACAATCCCATCGTGGAGCTTCAACTGGATCACTTTGACAAGTTACATAAACTGAAGTCTTTGTAAGTATCTGTTCTCCCGTTCTTGACACTGACCACTAATCTTTACTGTTGGAGATTTAAGGACAACAACAGCTTTGTATCAGCTTTTGAAAGGGTAATGAAGTCTTTTATGATGTTTAAGATCTGCCAACATGTCTGTTGTGACATACCAAATAGGAAAAAGTTTAACAGTAAGACAAAGGCTCGGCAAAAAGACCAGAAAAACCCAAATTCTCACACAGTTTTACAACGTGTGCGCCCAAATGTATCAGGTGTAAATCTAACCCATCATTTCAGAAAAAGAGCATCAGGCCAACAGAAAACATGGTGGTGGTAGTGTGATGGTTGGGGCTGTATTCCTGCTTCAGGCTCTGGACAATTTTCAATAAGTGATCAAACAATTAATTATCTCTCTAGCATAAATTTCTAAAGGATTGTAGGGACACTTTGATCATGAAGCAGGACAGTAATCCAGAGCACAGCACTGTGCTCAAATTCGCCTCCAAATGGCTCAAAAAACAAAGTTTTTGAAACATGCTTTTTTTAATCTATTATTGATAATAAAATTTGTTTGATCTGAAACACTTGAAGTTTGACAAGAACAGCATAGACAGAGAAAGTCCATAGGAGCATATTCTTTTTCACAGGTCTGTATTTCACTTTTCAGAATTTGTAACAAAATGTTTTTATGTCTCTCAGGAGCATAGAGGGAATAGAAATTGATAACATACAGCGAAGGATGTTTGAACCTCTCAGATACTTGACTCACATGTAAGTACAACATTATCATGCTCTGTGGAGACCTTCATTTTTTCACACATAATGTACTGATAAGACCGAGTCACAGGCTATCCTTACTGGGGCTCAGCTTTAAATCCATCTGGGAGATAATTAAACCAGCTTTAAGGTGAGCCAACCTCTCAGAGCGCAAAGATACATAATTCATGAATTCGTGGAAGGAATAAGTTCCTTTTTTACTTCTTTTTTTTAGTTGTAGTTTTTCGTTTTTATTCAAGTGGGCTAAACAAAAACCATTAATGTTAAGAAGGATGGTGATCTGGTTTGTTTTAGTAAAAAGGGTTTAGCCCCAAACTGTGGCAAGTAAATTGAAAGGTAATTTTGTAGCACCAAACAGTGAAAAACAATTTCAAATCTTCATGACAAACACTTTTTATGCTGTGGAAGGTTACATTGTGTGTGTGTGCGTGTGTGTGTGTGTGTGTGGGGTTGTGTGTGTGTGTGTGTGTGTGTGTGTGTGTTTTTCTCTTAAATCAACCAGCCTGGCTATAATCTGCTTCCAAATATACAATTTCTATGATTTTTCAACAGATTTGACTCCATAAACTGACCCATAAAAAGCAGCAAAACATGGGAACAAAGTAGAAGTGCACAATACATTGGGTTTGGCTTTTCTTAATTTTTTTACCACATTGTCTGATATATAAAACTTCAATTTCAATAAATGATGAGTTTTTTAGTCATGTGACAATGATGTTGAAGCAGTGCATTGTGGGGTGTTCTCACTATGTGGAAAAGGTAAGAGAACATAATACGATATCAGTTATCGGACACAACAGTAATATTAACATCAGATATTAATACTAACCCAAATTTACATACTGGTGCATCACTTGATGACAAAACTTTAGTATTTTTATTTATTTTTTTTCCCTGGTTGAACGTTCAACCTCCATCCTGAACGTTGCCCACCTTCATTTGAAATGAGTGAATATTTTGGCTAAAATAGCAACAGTTTATCTCCAATAGTGATATAGGAGATAAACTTTTGACATTTTGATGTGTAATCTCAAACTTTAATTTATTTAAATTAGATTTTATGTATCAGACCAACACAGAGCAGTAAACGATAAGAAAAGAAAAGAAAATTACATTTGGGTTTTTTAAAAAATGAAGCATGTTTTCAGCCCTCTTAGCCATAAATAAAACTCTTCACAACCAGTTGCCTATGTAATGTAATCTCAGTGTAAATCTAACTGTTCTGTGAAGGCCTCACTGGTTTGTTAGAGATCATTAGAGAACAACCAGCACACATCGGACAGGCCAAGTTAAACTTGGCTTATGTTCTAAAATTTTAAGGAACATTGAAATTTGGGTTTGTAACTTTACAAAATGTGGACATTCTGCAAATACTTGCACACCAAGTATAATATTTATTGCATTTTATACAGAAAAAAAATAGTTTAAAAAAAAATAGTTTCAATCAATAGTCCAAATTTAGTCATTTCAGGATCTGAGAGGATTTGATTGATTTTCCTTTTGCTTTTCATTAAGGCCATTTTTCTAGTTACCATTCAGGCCAAAGTGACACTGTGAAGAAAGCAGAGCTGTGTCAACACCCCACATCTAAAAGTAAATTAACCCAAAGCCAAACGCTTGGTTGGGTTTCAGTTCTTTTAGTTTTGATAAACGACTGACGTTAAATCTCTGTCGGCTTCCTCCAACAAGAGTTTATAAGAACAAAAGGACCAGTTTTAATCCAAATAGGTTTTTTAAGTAAGTCTTCCACCTCCTGAACTGCACAGTCTGACAGAAATGAGATCACTGTCCTTCTGTTTTTCATTATCTTCCAGTTTAAATGCACAAATAGACAGTAAGGGTAATATTGTGGATAGACCACTCCAGGCTCCAAGTAAACACACACCCCATGCCCTAGCATTAGATTGCTTTTTTGATGTTGTTTTATCTGTTTTCTTAGCTATTTCAAGAAGTTCCAGTACTGCGGCTATGCCCCTCACGTGCGCAGCTGCAAGCCCAACACAGATGGCATCTCGTCTTTTGAGGACCTGCTGGCCAACATCGTCCTGAGGGTTTTTGTCTGGGTTGTCTCTGCCACCACATGCTTTGGCAACATCTTTGTCATCTGCATGCGCTCGTATATCCGCTCCGAGAACAAACTCCACGCCATGTGCATCATCTCCCTCTGCTGTGAGTCAAACTGCACTTTCAGGGGAACAGCAGTCATTTGGGAGGGAGCGTTGTGCAAAGGGAGAGGGATATGGAGCCTTTTAAACTTCAGAGAGTACAAAGTGTCACTTGAAGTTTCTGCCTGAATTTTTATTTATTTATTTTTATTCTGACTGTATTTCTTTGCTATAATGCATAGTCATGTTTCATTATGTTTCTCTGGTATAAAATATTTAATAAGTCTCTCAGGGTTTATTATGAATTATATCAAGTTTATGCAAAGCATCAATATTTTTGCAGTGACTACTCATTCTGTGTTAATATGTGTGTAATGCAGCCTGACACACTTTTACTTCCTAGAGTTTGTTTTTTGGTTGACCTGCCCAGAGGTTCTGGATGGAGTTAAGACTTAAATTTCCTACCAGTGAACCCAAGATGTTTGTATTAGGGCCAGGACTATTAATTAATTTCAGAAACTCAACGTGTTAAAAAATTTCATGCAATTATATGGACAGCAAACATTACCTTGTGGGAACCAGAGGTGGACAGTGAAGAATGATTTCTTGTACCACTGCAGTCCAATACTAAACTTTTTCTGCTCACATTTATTCTAAATGACATTGATGCCACAGTTGCGCATTCATTTGATCATTCTCCATAACAAACCAGAAACAGTGAAATTAAATAAACACTACAGTACAGATAAAAGAAATCAAAGTGTATTTACATTCCTCAAAACTACAAATCTGAATGCTTCTCACGCTGTCATGACTAAATGGAAAAAGATAAATCACTAGAGGGATTTCTCAAATCGTAATTTCATCTGCTAAATTAATACAGACTCTTGATTAAGATGTTGAGAGATGTTTCCAGAAAAGCTGAGATGCTTCGTAAAAAGTTTATATGAATGCAATGAGCATGCAAATGTTCAAACCCTGAATGTAAATCAAGATTCATATTAGTTTTATTTTTACCTCAATGCCAACAAAATCTTTTAAACATATTCTGGATGCATCTACCACCAAGGCTGTGTAAGTGAAAGCTGTCCCTCTGCACATCAAAATTTAATGTTTCCCCCCCCCCATGCACGTATGCTCCAATTTTCTACCACGTTTTGGCTTGATAATTTTACATGACCTTGTTAATATTGCATGAAGGAAAAGGAGTGAGAAAACAGCTGGGGGTAGAAAGCTGGCACCAGGGCAATAAAAAAAGCTAATTAAGTTTTATATTACCCTAAAAAGAGGAAAAAATATATCCACGCATCAATCAGCTCAAACATCTCACATTTAAATACGGTGTCACACAACAAATTAGTATGTTAGGTGTGATAATAACTGAATCAACTGAGGACAAGTTTCATAAAACAAGAGCTCTACACTGATGTCTAAAAAAGTAATCAATACTTAAATATTTAACCATATTTTTTATCAACATCTCTGCACTAGAAACATTTAAATATCAACTCTACAATCTATAGCTGAAACTGTGATTTCAAGTATATAATTTGTTTCAAGAGCCTTTTCCTTGGCTAATGGTGAGGAGAAACACTCCACAGTTTCCTGACAAAAGAAAAGTTGTAGTCTTTTCAAAGCTGCAGCATGTAACTTTTATCATTTTTTATTCATTACTTAAAACTGTCACTGTGTTGTGACGGTACAATACAGATATAGATGTTATAAATTTACATTAAAGTAAAAGTTGCTAAATGCATTTGCACCCACCACTTTTCAGAATTAGTGTAGTAAAAAACACATAAAACCATACAGGATATTTTCACAAATATTCTATGTTCATCTGCTACAATTTCCCAATAATACATTGATATTTCTGGTTGTAATGTGACAAAACGGGAAAAATGTTTATAGGGGCATAAATATATTTAATACAAGACAGAGTAACTGCACAGGAGAATCTAAGAAGAGAAGATTAGTGGACATGAGTATGTCGCACAGCATTAGTCCTCACCATTACATGCAGCTCAGTGAAGTTTGCTGTTGTCCAGGTGACTTTTACAGCAACACAGTGCCAGATACATTTTGTGTTCCAGGTGGACAGCTATTAAACTGACATCTGTATGGCAGTAAGTTAAAGTCTGTTAGAAAAACAGAGAAAATGACGACACATTCAAAACTCAACATATTGTTCCTGACATTTTCTAGACAGTTAAAGCGCTTCATTAAAAGAAGAGGTGATGCAATGTGGAGGTAACATGCCCCAACTCTTAAATATGTTCCCTGCATCCTTAAATAAAGACATTTCTGTGTTTTGGTAGCTCACAGCTCAACACAGGATTTCATCAGAATGCTAACAAATGCAATTTCATTTGCTATCAACATCAGATGAGGACTCCTTGGTTGTTTCATGATTTAATGAGGAGAATCAGAATAGTTGTTTTTTAAAATGGCCATTTAAAATGAACTCCAGACTGACAATTGAGGAAAACGGAGTTGATGCTGAAGACGGTTTATTCCTTGGAAATATTTGAGATTGAAGAGCAAATCTGCTGCTGCTGTGATGTGATACCGTGTAAACTGTCCATATAAATAGAAAACATGTTTTACTTTAATCAAAATCTGTTATAGCCTTCAGCTTATCTAATAAACTATAAAATCATGGAGCAGGGTTTCCCAAACCTTTCCCTACCTTGACCCCGCAAACATCTGGCCAGGGACGCACTTTGCAAATCCTCAGACATTACTACAAAATATGTAAAGAAACATAAATTTCTAGAAAGTTTTTTCCACACTTTTATTCAAAAATTAATAGTTATTGCATTTGTTTAGCATAAAAGCTGCATCATATTTTCTGACTTCAGCTGGCCATAATTTCTGAGGGTTTTTTGAAGCTGTGTTCTCCACAGGTGGGCTGCTGGATGGTGGCTTCACTTTTTTTTCTTTTCAGAAACTTGTCAATTTTGTATTTTTTGTCCTCTTACTTTCTAAGACCCTCCTAGCTCTTCATGGTGACCTTCCCCCCCATGGGGCCACAGCCCCCACTGTGATAAACCAGAGATTGAAGGGCAAAAACTTTTTTTCTAAAAGTTTAGTAAACCCATGACAAATGTACCATGAAAAGTGTCAACCAAGTTTGAATTTGTTTTCATTTCAAGACATTTATAGCCTACTTGCTTTAACACATTGATCTTTAAAACTTCATTCCTTCAGAGTTGGCTGAAAAAAGCTAAAGTGAAGCTTAAAGGAATGAAAAAGGAGCTAACTGGCCTTAAAATGGTTTAATCTCTTCACCAGAAGTGGATTATGTGCTTCTATATGCAAACACAACATATCCACAAAGAGCTACTGATCTGCATATAAAGGGATGGAACAGATTTAAGTTCACAGGCAAAGTATAAACTCATTCAAGTGTTGAGCCATCTGTATTCAAATCTGGATCAAAAGTTAGCTTGAAAGATATTTTCATCTATTCAGCCACATTCATCTTTGACTGTAGCCTTTTACTCACTGAAAACATTTCAGTTTGTTTGTTTTTTTCTTTTCTGCTAAAACATCTCAATACAAGGTCAACCTGAAGCCAAGATCCTCTTAGAGATCCCAGTCAGGCACGAACCAAATCAGTTCTGCTGTTTTCCACTTTACATCCTCACATCTCAATACTGCATAGAATCAATAATAAAATGTTGAGCTCTTTATTTAATAAACCAAATGTATTATAGATCACTTTTAATAACTTTATGAGATTAATTTTGGAAAACTATTCAAGAGCCTTTTTTTTTGTACATGTCACAAATGTTAATATATTTCATATAAATTTTATAGACCGTAAGGTTAAAGGTATTTTGAAAAGAATGGGAAAATATTTTGTCTGCAAATTTGCAAAGCTGGTGGAGACTTATCCCAAATAACAGGAGAATTTGCAACAGGAGCTGAATACAAGTGAACACCAAACTTTTCAGATTTTAATTAGTACAAAATGTTTAAAATTAGACATATTAACAATTATGGACTACTTTGTGTTGGTGATGCATATAAAAGCCAAAAGAATTACATTAAAATTTGTATTTTCACTGTATTCAGGTGATACTTTATGTAAAACAAAGGATAAAATGGCAATAATGGTAACATTTTCCAGTTGGATATAAACTACAGATTTTGACTGATGCCTTTCAGATGCCAGGAAAAGAGAATATATGAGTAATTAGTTTTCACACTGCACCAGTGGATAAGCATGTGGGACTTGAATCTAAGAAAAATGAGACTACTCTGCTTGGAGGAACCTGAAAAAGAAAATAGGTCAGTTATCAACATTATTCCCTAAGAAAACATAAGAGGAGCTTAAAAATATGATGTATAATTATTCTTGAGGCAATAAGAAGAAAACTGTGCTTCACCATCTGTAGTGGCCATATTTAATGCGTCGGGTCAAATGTCACCTCCATAATTTCATCCATGAGCTCCGTGGATAATTACACATTGAGTTGCTCTTGGCCCAACATAACAGGCTCAAACAGCGGCTTGTGGAAGGTGGTGTGCATCTCTATCAACCCCCAGATTCAATTCTTTGTGGACCCATAATTTACTTCAATAACTGCTGCAAGTCTTCAAGGACATGCCAGCTTTGCATACCTAAGACAACAATCAAGTCTTGCTACATTTTTTACTGGATTTTGTTTGTAAATATGCTTTGATCTACAGCATTCATTTTCGCTTCATATTCAATGCAGTTTCTCCATTAAGAGACGAACCTTCACCCCAGTCTCAAACCTTGGACAGTATCCAACTTATTTTCTTCCTGGACTGACATTCATGATCGATCTCTATTTCCTGTTGAAGAAAAGCAAAAATACACAAAAATATTTACATTGATCATCCTAAGCTGCTACAACCTACTGTGAACAGAGCTCTAACGGGCAAGATGAATTTAGACATTTGGCTGGCTGTGTCTGTTGGGAGCCATTAGCTACTGTGGCTAACATTATCTTATTGGTTAGCAAGTCGGCTCTGAACTTGACCTTTCCAGCTCTGGGTCAGGCTGGTATGGGCACACAAAGCTGTGCTTCTCAGTTTTCTCTAACCCTAACCCTAAGCAGTATTTGGCAGCTTTACTTATTTCTTGGTGGGGTTGTATGCTGCGTCTGCTGCTGACGGAGATCTTTGAGGAACCTGTAACTACAAGGTTCCTTCTGCAGAAACAAACCAGCTTTGTCCACCCATCCTTCAGTAGAAGCTTGTTTTGACCACTTGCATCCAGGATCTCACTCTTTCATTCTTGTTCCATTTCTCATGACCATAGGTGAGGGTCTGAACTTTGAGGAACTGGTATATTAAGAGCTTTGCTGATCTGGTCAACTCTTTCTTCACTACAACAGATGCTCACATTACAGTAGACAAAGACCCAATCTCTCTGTCCATCTCTGGTTCTTAACATCACTTATGAACAGGACACCAAGATAGTTGCTGTTCTGGGATTTTTGGACATATTTAGCCGTCATCGGTGATAGCTTATGGTGTGCTGACATAATGAAGGAATTACTTTTTGTTGTTCATCTGAACATTAAAAAGTGACTGACGAGACATCTATAAACTTATTAGAGAGTATGACTTGTAAATTTGCAATTTGTTCGTTGATCATGACAGGAAAACTTTTTAATAAGTTGCCAAGGGCAATGAGGAGTAAACATGGAGGAAAACATTGTCCAGGGAGGTAATAAGACACTTTTGATCAGATGTATAGTCCTGTACAAAAGAAAATGTCAG